TTCTTTAAATGAATTAATTATCTTTCAATAATCCATTCACTAATCTTTCAACAATAATTTGTTTAACTCTTCAACAAATTTCTTCTTCCATCTTTGCCCCGTTTTCTAAACTTATAACAACAATATGCAACTAAAATTTCTGCCTATTTAAATATGCCTTTTTAAATATTTTATGATTGTGAAAACTGTCTATATGATTACTGTACTCTCAGATTGCTTTTATTATTAGATATTTAATAAGACGTACTTATCTATAAATAACGGCTATCATTTATTTGTAACTTTTATAAGAAGAAATTGAGGCTTATTAAAGGTATTATTTTAAATCGCTGTAGCCTATGTCGTGAGCGTGCATGTTTTGCGAAAATTATATAAATGAGACGTTCTTTTTTAATACTATTGTTATGATGCAGTGATTTGTTAATAAATATTCCATAGCCACATTAGCACAAACGTATACATATACATTCAAGTCGAATATTAATATTATAAGTCAAATACAGATACGTTGTACAATATTTCTATCATTTGTATATGTAAATGTATGTCGGATACTTTACTCGATTTCATAGAAAACTTAAGGACGGTTCATTCCGTTCTTATTTTAAGACTCTTAAGTAATGTCTTAAGATGCTAATATTTCTGATTGGTTCATGACATCTTAAGATTATACTTAAGACTATGTAAGATCCGATTGTGAATACCGGCCTAAGCTTTAAGATATTAATTGATTTAGTTTATTAGCGATAAGTATTTACATGTAGATATTATTTACAGATCCAACAGAATCCGACAGGGATGAAGACAGTCTGTATTTCGCGTTCGACACACACAAGTCTTATAATTTTAACGCCGAAGAGGACGATCAAAAAGTAGCGCAACGTTAGTTAATTATTAGATTAATTGTTATGTAAAGCTATCTATATAAAACAGTAGAAGACATTACTTGATTGCCGATTACATTTTATGTAATCTAAACTTGTAAATAATTTTTATATGTTATCAGCATCGATGATTACGTACGAATATTTTTTCTCTTTCTCTCCCTCTCTCTCTCTCTCTCTCTCTCTCTCTCTCTCTCTCCTTCTCTCTCTAATTAATTAATTAATTAGCTTAATTTCACTAATGTTCACATAAAATCGGTAAACATGACTCCTGTGTAAGTCGTTTAGGTATCGATAATATCTATGATGTTTTTGCACTCTTGTGGATACGTAAGCAAAGTACAAGTAGTTTGAATTATCTTATCAGATGGAAGATTGTTAACATGAAATCATTTAAATGTCTATGACAACGTATTCGTTCTGACTGAAACAACATAATTATTATTTTAATATTTAGTAAAATTATGTTAATACAGTAGAGCATATATCAGTATATACATATAATATAATTTTTATTTAGTCAAATCAACAATTTTATTTTTTAAAATTTAATTGCGTGTGACCATGGGTATATTTATATGTATATTTTTAAAATAATTCAGTAATTTTTTTGTAGATTTAACATCAAAAAATGTTCAATCTTTAATTTTTATCATCTATTGCCTGTGTATGTTTTAGTTTTTTTATGTATAATAATGATGATTCTTCTTTTGTGAGTTTATTTCTAAAATGATCATTTACTTCGGAAAATCTTGTTCTACTTTTTCTGAAACTCAATTTTACGCGATGCATATTTCTGTCTGTGTACGCGTTAAATGGACCTGCAGTATCTCTGATCTCCCCGACGACGCTATCGCGTTGCTCTTCTGGGGCCAGTCACTCTCAAGTAGAATTTTAACTTGGTCGATTCGGTACTCTCGGTCAGTCGGTGTCTTTGGGCCGCAAACGACGCATCGTTCGGCACACATGTATGCCGATTTTTATCGTCGCAATTTTAATCCGCTCGCGATTTTAATGACCGCAAACAACGTCGAAAAAAGAAAGACAAATTCTACTTCAGTGTTAATTGTGGAATCTCATGAAACTAATTATTTCGAGTGCATGTGTTATGTAGGAGCGAATTTTCATTAACTTTCAAACATTTTTAAACATATTTAAATAATGTGGTGTGATAAGACAAATTAATGTTAAAAGAATGTTAATTAATTCTTTTAATTAACATAAATGCGGTTAAAGATTTTTTAAAATGTGAAATTTTTGGTAATATCTATTATTTGATAATATTTTGCTGTAAAAAATTAAAATTCTAAAGAGATTAATAAAAACAGCTTTAATTTTGTCTCTGTTTTGTCATAAAAATGGATACACATTTGATACAATTTTTATATTACTTTTAAACAAAAATTGTTTTAATAATTCACTATTAAAAAAATTGTGCGATTATTTTTGGATAATCTTGATCTTTGGAACAAAAATAATCTATTGAGCAACTTATCTAAATCTAAAGCAACTGACTTAGCATTTCAAAAATTGAAATAATTGATACAATAATATTTTGATTATTTACGTTAATTAAAATTCTGTCATTAGTATATGTTAATTTGAAGTAAAATAAATAATTTCTGAATCTCTCACGTTTTAATTTAAATACGTTTATAATATCTTGGACTTAACATACAATATATTTGCATTTATATTTCAAGCAGTCAATCTTTTTGTGCTATTTATAAATTGCAAAAATAAATTTATTTTTTTTTATAAATATGTAAATTAAGTAAATTTAACATTTTTCTACATATTCATATAATATATTCGAAAATAATAAATTTTATTACATTTTTATTCAAATAAGACGATTTCTATTTTTTTATGATAAATAAAGAAAAATACATGTAATGCATTAATAAACAAAAATATAAATGTTTAAAACTAAAATATCAATACCTATGTGAGAAATAATTTGTTGTATATTAATGCTATAGATATTTTTAATTTATTATTAAAAATTAATATACTGTTTCTAATAACAATATAATTAAAATGTTCTCTTAATAACAAATATTAAAAATTAAATAATTAAAAAATTAATTTTAACTCTAAAAATGTAAAAATTTGTGTTATTATTGCGGATTTCAGTGAACTTTTTAAAAGAAATTCTTTGACAAATGTTTAATGTAGATAATAATGTGTAATAATATAACACTGTCAGTGTAATGAAAGTAGACGCAAAGAAATATAATTTCAAACAGTACGAAATTACGTAGCTCTGCTTAACTCAATGATCACAAGGCCGAAAACATAATTCATATGGCATCGCCGCCGAATGAGTATTTCTTCCCAAGCGAAGACGAAGACAGCTTGGAGGATGAATTATTTACAGGTCATTTATTTGGTGCGTAAATGATTGTATCCAATATTTTAAATTCTCCATCTTAATTCCATTAAATACATTGTACTGCACGCATTACGTAATTATTTTGTAAGTACATCCTGTAAGTAGAACAATCTCTCAAAAAATTGGAGCAACGATTAATCTTCTCAATTAAATTCAATTGACTTTTAATTGCAATAAATGCTACTGTGACTCTTAAATCCCATAAGATACGCCTATATAATAGGTGAATGTACCTTTAACAGGCTTTGTTATCATAATTACTGATGGATTAACAACTAAAATACGTTAATTGATAGATCGAACGTGGTTAGGAAAATGTCCGATACAAGTACATACATAAATCAATATACATGAATAGCTAGTTTTATTACATGTGGCTTTAGTGACGATAGATCTTCAATTACGATGCTATAGTTACGCTTAGCAACTACCTGTTGCTAAAAATTTTTGATTGTTCAAAAGAATACCCATCTGAGTTTCGAGTTTTGATTATAATCAAACTAAATATTTGATGCGATTGTTTCAGGTAAGACAGATGCGTTTGACATTGTGGCTGAAAAGAATGAAAAAACACCCTTCGAGGACAGCACGCACAATGAGAACGGCGATTACTTGACTGTCGTAAGTTACTTTCCCGTTACTGAATATTATTTAATTGGTATAAATTGTTTAAATGTCATTTTTTATTTTATATAAATTACTTGATAAAACATCAAGCAATTAATCGAGTAATTTATTTATATTATTCTCCGATATATTATTCCATAATCGGTATGTTTACAACATGCAACAGTTCCGTTACGTTTCTTTTAAAATAAATAATACTTTAAATCATAGAATTATTAAATTAATTTAATTATATTAATATAATAAACTTCGAATTCTCTACTTTATTGATCGAGCGATACAACATAAAATACAATGATATTTTATTGAATTTTCCATTAAATATATCGAGACTAATATCGCATAAAGACGATGCACTTGACGATAAGTGACGTGGCTTGTGACGTAGGCACACGTTATCACATTTCTATTAATCAGAGGCCTGCTATCTAGACTTTTTCCCATTCGTAATCAAAGATAAGGATCGCCTAGGTATTGTTCTACTTTATATTTTTAAATATGGATAAGAGACTGATTTTTGATATATCACCGCCGATTGTTTACCGATTTCTTTTTAATTTCAGTGATATCGCTAATATTTTAATAAAGCCATGATTAATTACTTAGCAGCTTAGTAATAAAAGTGTCAGCAAATATACTTTTAACATTGAATTCACATATATAAAAAACTCGAAATGTTGATTTCAATTTGCTATATTTTTGATTAAAAAATGTATCTCTCTTTTGTTCCTATATCTCCACTGTTATTCTCTTTTGGTTTTCTCTTGGCTTTTACGTAAAAGAGTATACAATCAATTAAAAATAAATTTACCTGTAATATTAAAATGTAAAAATTATCTATAATATTACATTCAAGAAATATTATAAAGTATCGGCGTAATTGTCCAGGTTTTATAAAGAATGCTTAATGAAGAGGAGACAGAAAATGAAAACTATCAAACAAAAGGAAAGTTCATGAAAAAAAGCCATACGGAAGTGTGGACATAAATAGCTCGAAAAGGGAGAGACAGCGCAAATCCCTCTCGCAGGGAATATTCAATCGTTAAGGGAACGCAGCGAAAAGAAAAAAAAAAGAGATAAAGAAAAAAGCGGAGAAATAATCTAGCGAAGAGTAGTTCGTCGGCGTCAGCCCTCTCCGTTCTCACAGGACTTTGCCGGGAAACCCGCAATCAAGGTCCCTCCTCCCCGCGATAAAAGCTTCGCGGACAGAGATTCTAAATATACGTGCGTTTTTCTGCGTATCGCTGTGATGCGGTTTCCCACCGAGACCAACCCTTTCAATAATTCGCGCGACGTTTATAAAGTTTTCGCGCGAGGGTAACGACAGGGTAATGCTCGATCGGCTTGATAGTCATCCGTTCCTCGATGGTCGATTAAATATGAAAATTGTTCGGACGCTCTTCAACCTCACGGGCATAAACGTCGGCTGAATAATTGATTCGCGGCGCGCAATCGCGGTGAAGACGAATTCTCATTTGGCCGCTTCTCCTCGACGAGTCAAGATCTCATCGCTCGGAACGACTATAGACAGGTCTATAGACTGTCTATAGACTGTCTCTAGACGAGCGCGAGCGGCCAGATGAAGAACGACAGTCGAGACTGACAAGTTACTCGTTTAAAGTATGCGGATATGCAGCACGCGATTGCCGTGCGCGTTTCGGGCTAATCAGAAAATGTCAGGTAAGAAAAAGATGCTAATTGGTTACGCACTACACGTGTTTAAGTAAAATCAAAGTGGGAAAATCGATTGCACGACGCACCACGTCAGCTCGGAACCCCTGAAGAGTGTAAAGTTACCCTACAATAAACTTTCTATTATTTCCCTATAAACGATAGCAATTTTCGATCTTCAAAGCGACCAATGCGAGAGTTACAGTTCGTCTGTGTGCGATTAGAAGAAGTGTCTAGTTAATCAGAAGTTTGGAACGTGTTCGAACGCGATGTCACTGTTTTGTCTTATTCACTTCGCTGTTGTTCCCCTCGGTTAATCGTTGTCTCTCGAACGTGCTCGTACTTATGTACTCTCTATAGCTCGAGCGATAATTCAGAGCTGAACGCAATTGTCGGAGTTGTCACGCACAGCAATTATTCTGATTGAATTATCGGTGGGAGCAGTGTTTCGTGAAAAGTTACGATGTTTGATACTGTAGGCTAAAAGTGAGCACGTTGCACTAAGTTAAACACTAAACTCTCAGTTTGCGTATATGTTTATCAACTTGTTGATGGAACAAATTGAATTTTCGCACCGCTTCCGTGCAAAATTTTTGGCTTATTGTCGTATGTGTGCGTGCTGGTTTCTTCTATTTTTATATAGAAATAAATGTAAGATAAAATAATAATTGTCACTGTTGTTTATTCATCGTTACTTTTTCTAGGAGATGTTGATTAATATTGCGAAGTGACTCGCGACGAATCGATAGCAGGATAACCGTTGTTCTGTTGCAAGAGGCTTTTTTCTTAGTCGCAGAACTTTCCCTACCTGAAAACGAACTTTTCTACCCTTTCTATGGTTTACGTTCGCCGAACAATTAAAAAAATGTATATAAACCCTACGTTTCGTCCCAATGTACAGTTTTCTTTTTTTAAATTAGCAGTTGTCTTTTCAGGGTGCAAAAGAAATCGAATATGCGATATTTTCAACTGACCATAAATTTCTCTCCTTAATTCCGTATTTGATCACGACAATGTTCGCAAACGATCAGCTATGATGACTCAAATGGTATTTGAATAGCAAGTCACCAGTAATTGTTAACGTGACAAAATTTAATTTATTTCATAAATTTACGATGTTTGCAATAAATTTGAATGTTATTTAAAAATAAAATTCAAATTTAACTAAGCAAATTTTATTAAAGATGAATATTTCATATTATTAAGAAGGCATAAAAAAATTTTGGAAAATAATAGAACTAATAATTTTTTTCAGAATGAAATTATGTTACATTTTAAAATATATTGTTGTGTACACACACACACACACACACACACACACACACACACACACACACACACACACACACACACACACACACACACACA